TTGTTTTGCCCATACTGTTTTTTCGAGTAAGTGTGGAAGGTATTTCAGCAAGTGAGTATGGTTGTCTGTGTTAGCTTTTTATGTGATAGTTTGGCGATTGTGGTAAGGTGTGAGTATGGGCTGAATGTTGTTATTATTCTATGTGTATTTGTTCTTTACCACTCAAGGTCTTTTTCCTCCATTTAGGGGTAGGGAGGTTTTTTTAATGAGAGCCTTGAGGTGATGTACTTTGTTACTCTCTTTAAAACAAAGTACCTTATTTCAAAAAAAAATTTAAAAGATATAAAATAGTCTATTAATTATAAGTCGTCATTTTGTTGAGTCTCTCGTTTATTAAAAAATTATAAAATGATCATATGAGTATTCATATGTTTGAAATTTGTCATTTCTCGTTAAAAAATTAACGTTCAACTGAGCTATACATTAACACGCTGATTGAGTTATGATAAAATTATATTTTAATGATGTTTACTAATACTTCTATTACTTTTAAACACTGACTCAATGACATAACGTAAATAAATAACATCATTGTAACTTTATTAGTGATGGTGTCTGGCGGAAGAATATTTGGACTAGCTTTATTAAAGTGAGGATTATAATAAATATATAACGTTAAATAGAAAAATGTAACTTGCAAAAAAAAATTCCTCAAAGTTTTCAATTTAGTTTAGTTTTCTAACTCATTCGAATGATATCACATTAATTATTAGTGATATCAGGAATTTTTTTCACAGAATTTGAATCCCTCACATGATCATATTTCTGAATATAATTTAAATTTAAAAATATATTTTAGAAAATAAAGATAAAACGAAATTTAAAAAAAAAATATTTGGAGTTCTTTTAGAGTGCTATAACAATCCTCTCGTGCAAGGAAAATTATATAACCCACGTCGCCTATCAAAACACATTGCATACTGATGTACACTACTAGTTTAAATTATCTTTAAATTTTAATACAAAATAAAGAAATGGATAGCTCCCAAAGTTGGCTGGTGCAAACTGAATACGGATGGAGCGCGAAACAACAACACGAGTTTCACATCATGTGGAGGAGTCATGTGTAATTGGGATGGTAAATGGATAACAGGATTCTCTAGCTCTGTCAGAATATGCTCAGTCATGGAAGCAAAACTTTGGGGAGTGTATGAAGGGTTACGAGTTACGACAAGCATGGAGAATAGGAGAAAAGAAGGTAATTGTAGAAGTGGATAGCATGGAGGTGGCTAATAGACTCCGAAGGAAACAAAAAAAAAAGGAAGTGAACATCACACTACTACAAAAAATATTCGAGTTAATGGAAAGATATTGGATGGTAGTAATTAATCATGTTAGTCGTGAAGAAAACAAAGTGGCTGATAGTCTTGTCAAAATCACCAACTCTGAAATCATAGAGTGCCGAGTTTTCTTGGATCCTCTGGTAGAATCGTTAAATTTCTTGTTTTTAGATAGTAACGCCTCCAGACATTAAATTCTAGTTAGGTAGTTTATTTCCACATTTTCCAAAAAACAATGGTGAGGTTTGAAAAATTGTGGTTAAACTAAACAATAAACTCAAGTGAGATGGATTAACAGGTAATAAAGGCAATGTTATAATTAAGGGCACAATTAGTAATGGACATGACTGTAGTTTATTAATAGTATATTTTATGATTTTTATGTAATCATCAATAGAATGGGGAGACTATAAAAAGTAATCATCATGGGTCTTATTTAATTGAAGAGGCGCCACTTGGAAAATTAGGGAAAACTAAACAATTAACACCGGCTCCACTAATGTTTTTCGTTATAAAATTAACAGTTGTCAGAATTAAATGTTAATATGTTAAATAAAATATAATAAAATTTTATTTTAATAACACTGCTATTGTTTTCAGGCATAATGTGAAATAGAAAAACATTATTGTACCTTTAGTAGTGATGGTGTGCGGAGGGAGAATATTTGGACTACAATCATTAAAGTGAGGATTATAATAATATATAGGGTAAAGTATAGTAATGGTCATTGAACATTTCTGAAGCTTGCATTTAGGTCCCCCAACTTTTAAAACTTGCAATACAGTCCCCCAATATTTATTCCATTTGCAATATGGTCCCTCAACTTAAACCACTGTTAGAAAATTAGGGTAAATTATATAAACGGTCATTGAACTTTTCAAACACTTGAATTTAGGTCTCCCAACTTTTAAAACTTGCAAAACAGTCCCCCAATAATTTTATTTTCTTATTAAATATAGATGTATAGAAAATATAAATGATTCAATTTATATTTAAATGTATGAATCATTTATATTTTTGATATATTTTATTTTTCTTGTATAAACTAGTATTTAAAATATGTTTATATTTTAATCAAAATATTTCAATATACGAATAAAAATATATTTATATAAATGTAAATTTATATTTAGATGTATAAATAAAAAAATATATTCATATATTAATGTATGATCATTTATATTTTTTGAATATTTTATTTTTAATAAGAAATTAAAATTATTAATTATATTAGAAATACTCAACTTAAGACTATATATAATCATGAATTATAAATATGAAAATATAATTATTAAATTTAGTTTAAAAATATATAAATCTTAAATTTATTCTTTTAAAATATTGTATCAACTAATATTTAAAAAATATATTAAATCTATCAAACAATTTATCAAATATAATATTTTTTATTGTAAAAAAATATAATATTTTCCCATCATTTATTGCTTTCAAATTTTTTGCCGAAGTTCAAATCTCATTATTTCCGTTTTCCATTATTCTTTTTTTTTTCTGGCATTGGTCATACTATTAGTATATGTATTATTGTATATCTCTTAACACAAACGATGGTGTTAGCTTAGTGGCTCCACCCTGTATCTTTTATTTGCGTGACTCAGGTTTGAGTTTGCCCAATACCCAAATTTTACTTCTTTGTAACTTAATTTTCTTCTAATTAGGTGGTGACATGTGTCACCAATAACACATATCATGATCATGTGTTAACACATGTCAGATCCTGATTAAATGATTAATTTATTAAATTTATTTAATTTAGGACCAATTGATAGCATATAAATAATTAGGTGGTGACATGTGTCACCAATGACACGTGTCATGATCATGTGCTAACACGTGTCAGATCCTAATTAAATGATTAATTTATTAAATTTTTATTTAATTTAGGACCAAATTGATTATATAAATAATAAAGACTGAATGTATAATAATGTCAATTCCTTTTAACTACCACATCATCATTTTTATCAATTGGTAACGACTAGTGGCTTAGTTGAAACAGTTAAATAATTATGTTGTATGATTGATAAATTTAAAAGATCGATGACAAAAGTAAAAAGGGCTAGATAGTTAAGTTGTCAACCGAGTAGTTTACACTTTTATTTATACGTCAAAATAACATTTTATAAATTTAAAATTCAAATTATTTTCAACCTCTTCTATATCCTAACTACTTTTTTTAATTAAAAAATTTCGTTAACAGATAAGAATTATACTATTATATTTATATAAAAAAATACGTATCACATGAAATAAGATAAAATTAAATAATAATAAATCTGACATAATTGAATTTAATTGAATTATTTTGGAATTTAGGGTTTAGAATGAAATTGAATTACTTTGGAAATTGGGGTTTAGAATGAAATTGAGGACTATTTTGCAAGTTTTAAAAGTTGGGGGACCTAAATTCAAGTGTCTGAAAAGTTCAATAACCGTTTATATAATTTACCCTAATTTTATAACGGTGGTTTAAGTTGAGGGGACCATATTGCAAACGGAATAAATGTTGGGGGACTGTATTGCAAGTTTTAAAAGTTGGGGGACCTAAATGCAAGCTTCAGAAATGTTCATTGACCATTACTATACTTTACACCCTTTTTTATATTAACAGGTGTCGCAACCGTCTTTTGGGTGGACTCAGAATTAGATTTCGACTTGAAAAAATGTTAAAGCCGCCATCGATCATTTAGGTTGATCAGACATTATCTTACCTGATCTGCTTCTTACCATAAATATGTCGGATTCGGGAATCGGTTACAGTCAATGAAGGATTAGTATCATTGAGCTGCTCTTTCGGTACTAATGTTTTATAAATTTTGTATTTTAATTAAATTACATTTAGATTTTTAACTAATTTATAATTATATGTTTAGTATTTTATAATTTAATGTTTTATAAATTAATTTAATAAACTCATCGTTAACCGTACTCATCTATACTCGACGAGGGTCATAAAAATTTTCTTTTTACAAAACATATACATTTCACAAACTTCTTTCAAAATTTGAGACAATATTGTTATATCACGATGATCAACGACGTGGCATTCTAATTTCCTGGAATGTTGTTTCATTAGTTATTTATAAATATGATGTCATTCTTTATAAAATTTCTCATCATCAGTTTTAAAATAAAAGATAATATCATTTTATTATGTTAATTAACGAGATGATTTCCTAATTTACTGAAATATTATATCGTTAATTATTTGAGTCTTTAAGATATGAGGCATCCTTCACAAAAATATAAGACAATATCATTTTATTATGTTAATTAATAAGGTTCTGCGTCTTCTAATTTATTAGAATGATATCCCATTAATTATTTGTGATAGAAGCATATCCTTTACAAATTTTGAATTCATTTACGTGATCATATTTTTTAAAATAAATTAAATTTTGTAATATTTAAAAATAAAATAAAGATAACACAATATTTTAAAGGAACCAATATTTGTACATTCTGATTATGCTATAACAATCTTCACATACAACCAACTCTTAAACATATTGTAGACACCCGTTTTTGTCCGAGTCTTTTATATTTATTTTTTTTATTTTATTATTATTATTATTATTATTATTATTATTATTATTATTATTAATATACAGGTTACATTTTTGTAGGCCACTATAAGACCAAATTTGGAGCCCACTAGCTATCCAACTCAGCAGGCCTAATCCCGAAGCCCAGCATGTACATCAAGCCCAACTACCAACCCAGACCTGCGGCCCAGCAATCGACCCAAACCCGCTAGGGTTACCCCTTCTCTGCCTCAGCGCCGCACCATCAAGACCGTCTGATCTGGACCCATCCAATGGTCCAGATCAAAGGCCATTTAGGTCTGAAACCCTAACCCTAGTTCTGAGCCCTAACAGCTCAGCCACCAGCCGCCTCTTGGCTTTCCATCTTCCTCTGACGCCGCCACCATCACTGTTCCGGTCTGACCCCAACTGTTTCACTATTGTCATCTACAGCAAAACCAATCAAGAAAATATATCATATACAGTTCAAATCTCACAAAATCTAAACTCCAAATTAAAATACCAATAAATCCCTAAATATTCAGGATTTCTATCCCACCAAATCAGAAAAAGCCATGCCCTACACTAGGTATCATCATCTCACCAAATACTCAACAAAAATCAAGGGAACGAAACCAGAGAGAGGGAACGAAAAGAAAATACAGAGAGAAGATTCGGGTTTACAGAAAAAAAGAGAGAAATAGAAAGGAAAGAAAAGGGAAAAAGAACGATACCTGCAAAAAAAATCCGAGCCCTTACCCATCTCTTTGGAGCAGTGAGGAACCATCCCAAAGGTAAAGCCTTTTCCTCTTCTAGGGTAGTTAGGGTTTGGAGTGTAGTGGGTTTTGGGGTTATGATTCACCTAGGATTTTTTAGGTGAGAGAGATGAGGTTACTCCCCGTGGCCACCGATCTGCGGTGGCCGGGGAGTTTAGGGTTTAAATCCCCGGTTGAGGATGAGAGAAGGAAGGCGAAGAGGTGAGGGTCGAGAGCCATTTTGGCTCTCTGTCTCTAGAAGGAGAGGGAAGAAGGAAAGGTTTGGGGTTCTCTAGGGCTTTCGCCGCCGATTTACGGCGTTTGTGACCTCTGTTTTTTTCTCCACGACGGAGAGAGGCGGAGGATAAGGTAGAGAGGTGGAGAGCCTCTTTGGTTCTCTGTTTTCTGGAGAGAGGAGGAGATGTGAGAAATGAGAGATGTCACTGGGGAAGGGTCTTGGGTTTAGCCTTATAAACCGAGTCCAAAACGGCGCCGTTTAGGTTGAGGACTCGGTTGTAATTTCATCATGGGTAAACTGTGTAAAAGGGGCTCCCAGGTTTTGAACGTTTATGATGTAGCCATTTATTGTATTTTATTTATTTTGTATTTTATACCTCAAGTTTGTAATGTTTATGTATTGGTCACCTTGCAGTAATGTTTTGTAAGTTTCAACATTTGTACTCTGTGTTTATAATGCTCACATTTTGCTCACTGCTTTTCTGTTTGGCTTAAATACCGAATTTGCATTGTATGTTTCATTTGTTTTATTTTAGTCATTTGTTCATAACATAGAAAAGTATTAATTTACGTATTTAAAACCTAAGTTTTTTTCGAATACAATTTATAGTCACTGTGTAAATTTTGTATGGGTTATTTACTTGCTTGGTTATGGTCATTTTGTTTAGGTTTGTTTAGATACTTTTGCTAAATATATGTATAATTTATTTTTACTTATGTTATTGTTTTTACTTATTTATTATATTTTCTTTAATATTTGTGTTTAGTATGAGTTAATATTAGGAAATATTTATATAGATATATATATATATTGGTTAATAGTCACTATTATTTATATTATTGTGTGATATGGTTAAGCTTACTTATGTTATAGACGTTCACTTTACTTAATAGGTACTTTAAAATTTTATTTCATATTTATTACTTTTATTTATTATTTTTATAACGTTCAATATGTTAATGTATTTTTTAATAATTAACTATATATGTTTTAGATGAACAAAGTATATTTACTTTACTCATCTCGATATAATTTGGTGTTAATTCAAAGATAGAATATACTTTATAGATGAAAAATAGACGAGATAGCTTTCCCGATGGAGGATTGCAAATCTCGGGATTTCTCACCAAGTTAAGTATTTCTATTATTTTAAGTAATATTCAATAAATAAATCATAATTGATTTATCATTCTATTTTTTATAATTTTTATTGTATTAATGATCTCTATGTTAATATTAACAATACATGTTTTAGATAAATTAAGTATGATTTATTTTATACTCTTGTCGATATTATTTGGTAGTAATTCAAAGATAGAATATACTTTATAGATGAGAAATAGATGAGATAGCTTTCCCGATGGAGGATTGCAAATCTTGAGATTTCTTACCAAGTGAAGTATTTCTATTATTTTAACAAATATTCAATAAATAGATCATATTTTTACTTCTGATTCAAACTTTAAGTTCTATCATTTACGACGATATATAAGCGACTAAGTACCGATTTTGGGCGTTGTGAGGGGTGTTTACCCTGTTTACCCTTCCCCGTACGTAACCGACTCCCGAATCCGTTTAAATGAATCTTTGGTAACACAGACCGAATCTTGTCTTTAAAAAAATGATTTTTCTTAAAATTGTTTTAAAAGACGTTTTTAGGTATTCGACCTACCTAACCCAAAGGTCGATGGCGACTCTTTTCAATTTTATTCAAATCAATTCAAAATCACCCATTTTCCAAAATAAAAGTCATAATTGTTTTTTAAATAATAAAAAAAGTTTTATAAAAAAAATGGTTATGACAGCTTGGCGACTCTGCTGGGGACACTAGAGAGTCAGGCTGTCGGTCGCTTATATATGGTCGTTATGGTGGAAATTATAAGTTCGAATCTTTAGTAAAACTATGATCTATGTATTGAATTTTTATTTATTATTTTATCTCTTTATTTTTATATACTAACATTTTAATCATAATTGTTATTTTTTTATTTTCCCTGTTTTTGAGTCAAAGGTTTGTTTGTTTCTCCTCACACACATCACTTTCATTAGCATAACATGAGCTCTAGACATGAGCTTCGATCCAAATTAGTTAGGGTGATTGCTTTACTCTCGTAAGAATTTATTCTTCGTATGAGTTTTAGCAAATAACCCATGGGATACATACCTTATACCTTCGTAGGAATTTATTCCTCGTATGGGTATAAGGCAGTGAATCCCCTCGAATTGAACTCGGTCCGTTTGAAAACCTGTAATGGGTGAGGATTGAGGGTTTGGTAGCCCAAGGGGGCACCGACATCAAGGACAATTCGAGTTCCTTTTTCCTGATAAGAGCCGAAACCATGCATATAATGAACCATAGAACGGTCACACTAGGTAGAGTCATACTGAACCTCTGTCCGTCAATAGGTACCTAAAATAGGCGTACACAATGGAGAAACCTACTCTAACCTTTTTATTTTTATTTTATTTATTTATTTTTGAGTGTGTAGAATAGAGTTATTCTTTTAAAGCATGTGAAATAGAATTTAGGTGTAGTTAGAATTTAATTAAATAAATTTAGGAGGGTAGAAAGCATATTTGGGTAGGCCCTTTTTGAGGAATATTATTCGGGTAGATAATACATAAATGGAGTAGATTTATTTCCCGTTTTACATATCTTTTTATGTTAAATTTATACAATTGTTTTGACTAACTGTTTTGTTTGTTTTGTTTGTTTTTTTTTCATACTGCATAGACATATCATTAGAAAAGGCGATTGATCTGTGAGTATCGATAAAGTGGAAAGACTTTCACGATGGAAAGGAGTTTCCTAAACAAAGAAGTGAATCCAGCAGATGTAAGGAACTGGTCCGAAGCCAAGCAGAAAGAGCAGGGAGATAGTCTATCAGGGAACTACGTGTCGGATCTGTCTGATTATACACCAGCTTCTTTAAAACAGAATGAGCTTCAGGGATTGAAAGCAATTTGGGAAAGTTGGAATCTTATTGAGAGGCAAGCTTTTCAGCAGACTTATGGAGATATATTTCATCTGATATACGTGAAGGTAGATCCGGTTCTCATACGAAGCATAATACAGTTTTGGAATCCGGCCTATAGTTGTTTCACATTCAACCGAGAGGACATGACTCCAACCCTCGAGGAATACCAATTTCTGTTGAATTTGCCAAGCGTTAAAGCAGACAAAGTTTACTCCCGATCGATAAAAGGGCCTTCTTTTAAGTCAAAGCTTGCAAAGATTTCGGGCACAAGCGACAAATGGTAATGATCGCTTGCAACGCAAGGGAGAAAGTGAGGGAGTGCCGTGGTCTCACTTACAAAAGATAGCTGAAGCACATGTAGATGAAAACGTGCGTAGAGATGTATTTGCTTTGGGTATATATGGTTTGGTAATCTTTCCAAAATGTTTGGGGCTGATCGAGCTAGCAGTAGTCGATTTGGTTGAGAAGTTAGGAAGAGAGGTGAATCCAGTCCATGCGATTCTTGCTGAAACTTTCCGATCTTTGAATATATGTAGAAGGTTAGGGGGAGGTCGTTTTATGGGCTGTGCTCAATTGCTTACTGTGTGGATCAAAAGCCATTTCTGGAAGGAGGAAATAGTCAACTATAATCGTTTTTTGAAAGATTATTCTCCTGTTGCTGAGTACCTTACGAAGGAGTGGCCTGAAATATCTCAGAAAGATCAATTGATTGATTTCTTCCGGAATCTACAGAGTCAAAACATAGCATGGCGAACACCGTGGCTGATGCATACGCAAATCTTGTTCAAGTGTGGAGATTTGGACTGGATTATATTATTGGGACTGTGGGGAGGAGTGGGATGCGCTCCTTTATTGGTATTGAGACAGTACGGTGCCCGACAGTTTGTTTCTGTGACTCATGGGTTGACTGGTGCTGAATTTGATTATAAGGAAGGCAATTATAGAAAGAAAATCAAAGATGTGACTGATTCTTGGAGGATGACTTTCAGGACTAAAGTGGTTGGAGCGGATATTATCTTGACGCCCGATTATGAAGCCTGGAGAATCAAGAGGGTAAATGATAAGATACCTTTAACATCTGGAGAGGGATCAAGGTCGATAGAAGAACAAATCAGAAATATCCCTTCGAATTTGGAAATCCAAAGAATTGAGTTTGAAATGGAAAAGGCTAAAGATTCCAAGAAAATAGAAGAGATGGAGAGAGAAAACTTCATGTTGACTATCGAGGCTGAATTTCATGCCAGACAGTTTATAATGATGAGAGAACGGAAAGAAGAGGTGGAAGCCGATTTAGAAGACTTAAAAAAGGATTATCAAATGGTGCAGCAAGTGAGAAAGAAACTTGGATCCAGAGAATTAGCGGCTGCAAGACGGCGAATCAAAAGTCTGGAAATTAAGAACAAGTGTCAAATCAAGAAGATAGAAGCTGGAAAAGCAAAAGTATGCGAGCTAGAGGCCGATAAAAAGGAATTGATA